AATCTTATACAAAGTTATGAAAATTGCATGGCCTCTGGCGACTACTGTACCTTGGACAAATATCCAGGGAAGTTAGGTTTAGGAGTAAGGTTAGGGTTAAGCTTAGGGCGAGGTTTCGGATTGGGGTTAAAGTCTGAGATGGGGTTAGGGTCAGGTATATGTCAAGTTTTGAATTCGTGTTTACTGTTGGGTTTAGGTTTGGAATAGGACAAACCATAGTGGGAGTATATCTGATCAACTACTTGCAAAGAAGTGTCTTCTTAACAAAATCCGCAGGTTACATGCCAACAACTTTAATTTGGAAATGTATATACATATACGCGCCTTGCCTAACGAAGGACCCAGCATTAGGGACAGCACACTATACGTGCGCCTTTGCGCTTAAATCCGGAGAAGGACGCAATGTGATTAATTTGAAGGTTCGGATTGAGTTTAGAATTAGGTCTAAGATTGAAGTTAAGGTCAAAAGGGGGTTAGGGTCCGGGTTAGGTTAAATGTTCAGTTTTTGTTTCGTGTTAACCGTGGGGTCAGATTTACGGTAGAGTTTAGGCTGAGGTTAAAGTTCAATTTTATGTTAGGATTAGCGCTGGAGATAAGACACTCGAATATTTATCCGCTTAAGATTAATCGTAAGGCCAGGCCTCTTTACGTACACGGCACTTTCCTATTCTCGTGTCCCGTTTAGACCACCATAAAAGTCGTCCTTACTCTCCTCTTGACTACAACAACTTGTACTTGGTCTCCTTTAAGACAACGGCAAGCAGACTGGGTGGTTGGTTCTCGTTTCAATTTTATCGCCAACTCCATGGCGATCAAGTAACTTGTTTGAACCAAAACCGATTTAGCATTTGAGGCAACGAGCTATTGGAAATAAGGGTAGGGTAAGGAGTCATTGTACTGTCAGAATTATGTTACGCGTTAAGGTTTGGGTTTGTGTTTACCCATGGGTTTAGGTTTAGGGTAGGACTAGGGTGGAGATTAAGGTTACAGTTTCGCTTTATGTAAGGGTTAACAAACCAGAATATTTACCTTTCTTAAAATTTCTAGTAAGGGCACCTATTTGTTGTGCTTAGACAGCTATACAAGTCATTCGTACCAATCTCTTTCTCTTCCGTGTGTAAAGCCGGTAAAAAAAACACGCCAGTGACTTACCAGCGCTTCTTTCTCCGTAACCGCCTGCAGGAGGCTATCCACCTGGGACTGCAGCGAGGTAATTTCTGCCTCCAGTGAGGCAGCTTTGGTCTAATTACAGTAAAAGTAAGCAGTATTAAAATTCGGGGAATTTTTGCAGGAAAAGGTAGACAGAGCTGGGTAATCAATCCAGTCACTCACTTTGGCTTCTTGGAGTTCTGCAGACTGTCGCTCTGCTGCCTTCTCCTTCTCCGTCAGCTGAGATTCCAGGGAGAGTATGCGCGACGCCTGTTCATTCTAGTGGTTTGCACAGACAAAAGAGGTAAGAGAGAGACGTTCGCATGCAGCTATCTGTGTGCAAATTCGCACTGTCAGATTAACAAGATTAAAAAGTTCCTTTTCCAACGGTGGCAGGTGTCAGGCAATGGCTGGCTTCCAATTTTACTTACATGGCGGTCTGATCTAACTGGCCTCGAGGGTCAACCTGAAGTCAACCTCTCCGTGCGTGACGGTCTGTGCCAGTCGATCTAGATGGCTCGACATGAGATCGTGACCGACTACCCAACCGAGAGACAGGCAGGAGCGTTTGAAGGACAGTCAT